CCGGCCAAGCGCTGCCAGCCGGTGCGACGACACCGGTCTCGGCGACATCCGGGACCGAGTGCCACAAGCTCTGCGTGCCGTCGAGCTCGGGCTGCGTCGGTGCGGCCTTTGACTCGGCCACGAAGAGCTGCGTTCTGCACCTCGCCACGTACGCGCCGTCGACGACCATCGGGTGGGTCGTGCCAACGACGTTGCCGTCATCGGTGGCGACACCGACCTCGGTGGAGTTTTTCATCAACGCGCACCAGGACGACCACGAGCTCTTCATGGCGGCCAAGCTCTACGACAGCTTTAGCAAACCGACGGCCAAGATTGTCATGATTTACACCTCGGCGGGCGACGCCGGTGCGACCGACGGCTGGTGGCAGGCGCGCGAGCTCGGCACGTTGGCGTCATCGCAAACCTTCGTCAAGCTCTTCGGCTTGTTCTCGCCCGTGCGGAAAACGTCGACCGTCACGATCAACGGCCACGTCATCACGAAAGTCGATTTGGGCAACGCGATCCACTACTTTCTGCGGCTCCCAGAATTCGGCATGATCGCGCTGCCGACCAAGATGACGTCGCCCGTCGACAAGCCGGCCGAGACGTACGCCAACATCGCCGCACTCCGAGCGACTGTGATCGCGCTCGTCAAGCGCGAAGCCAGCGGTCGCAGCAACGTGGTTGTCAACTCGCAGCAGTTCGCCGACGTCGACCACGTCCTCCACGCCATGACCGGGCAGCTCGTCAGTGACGGTCTCAAGGCCGACGCGACGCTCAACAAGTGCGTGACACGTAACTTCTTTTGGGGCTACCAGCACTGGCTCGACTCGATCAACATGGCGGACCCGAGCTTGACCGAGCAGCGCAACATGTGGTGGGCGCTCCACGGCGCGATCGTCAAGCAGTACCCGGGCAGCTCGCCGTGGTACGACCACTGCCTAACGCTTGGTCGGCAGTACCTCGCATCGACCGTCGCCGGCACGGGCGCGTGCTAGCCTTGCGTATAAACATAATCTGAATGACACCTTGTGTGCATGGATTTGGGAGGCACTAGCGCTTCGGTGTTTTTATTAATGTACTCGAGTGCAGAGTGCAGTCGAGTACCCTCGTCGATACCATTCGCGCCGTTGGTGTTTGTAGCCCAATAGTCTTTCCTTCCAATGCATGACATGTCTTTGTTCAAGCGGGGTCGCTTGCGCGTTGAGGCCAGAGCTACGTACCGGTAGTACACATCGGAACCACTCCTCTACGGCCGAAAATTTAGCCAAGTCCAACGCACGCGGCTGAATTTCGATCCTAGTGGACCACACGTTGAGGCATACCACTACCATTCGCGCCGCTGGCGTTAGGAGCAGAAGGCTCTGACCCTCCGACGCTACCAATGACATGTCTTTGAGTCCAAGCGGAGTGGACATGACCGCCATGGCGTTGCTTGGGAGTTGAGGCCTCGGAATTCAGCCAAGTCCAACGCACGCGGCTCAATTCCAATCCAGGTGGGCCACACGTTGAGGCATAACATCGCTCATGCGTTGGACTCACGCGACGCGTCAAACGATGCCACCACGGCGCGGACATGTAGTCGTGTGAAAGTAGCTGCCTCGATACAGGAAAAGCATGGAGGATACTGTGCCTAACGCTGGTTGGACACCAAACCTTTTCAAGTTCATCTTCGTGTCCACATGTGACGAGGCGAGACCTGATCCGTGTCCCTTCCTGGAGAGACACACATCCCACGGCTTCTTCAATCGATAGATATAGCGACGTTTATCTTCTCGTGGTCGACACTGTCTTGGGTACGCGACGCCAATGATGTGGCTCAGGCTACGGCGCAACCGTGTTTGCAGTATAGGGTAGAAGGGTACATACCGGCATGTAGAGTGCAAGGGACTTGCTGTGTCGATCGTCGACTCAGATGCCGTCAACACATGTTTTTCGTCGACTTAGCTGCTTGGCTCCCTGGATCTATGGATCGAGAACGGATCATTTTACCATTTGACAAGCCATGGGCAAGAACGAACCTACTCCCGCTGTGGCGCCGCTGGCCGTACCCGTGCCAAGCAAGGCTCTGGACGGCGCGATCGCACCGCCATCTGCTATTTCCAACGACGATCTCTCGTACATCGTCGACATGGAGGTCAAGGAGTCCAAGCTCTTTCTCGCCACGTGGACCACGCGGCAGATTGCGCTGACGACCCAGACGCTCGAGGTGCTCGACGGCAACAAGCTCAAGTTTGCTTGCAACACGACCAACTGCACGACGCGCGTGCTGCCGGCCATCGACGCCAAGCGCGCGTTTCCGTTCGAGCTCCTCGAGCACGGCAAGCCCAAAGCCGTCTTCAACGCGCCCACGGCCACTGCGCGGGATGACCTCCTCCGGCGCATCGAAGCTGCCGCCGCTGGCGTCGCGTGGGAATCGCCGAGCAACCACTGGGACAACTTCTTGTCCGTCGCGCGCCGCATCAACGAGGCCACGGCCAAGCACGCCAACGTGCCCAAGAGCAATGTGAGCGTGGCGCTCGTCCAGCGCCACTTCCAAGACATGATCGACATTTACAACGTCACGGGTGGCTTTACCAACATTGACGACCTCTACGCCTACTTTCTGGACCAAGAGCGCGAGTACGTCAAAGGCGAAGCGAGAGCCGGCAACTTTGCGCAGACCGTGCACCAGCTGCACCCGATCTGCTACGCCGAGGGCAAGAAGCAGCGTCCGCTTTGCTCGGCGATTGGCGACATCATCACGCACTGTGCGCACCGCAACTGCCGCGCGCCGCTGCCATTGCGCATGTCGTTTGGCCTGCACA